AGAGAGAGAGAGAGAGAGAGAGAGAGATTATCATTTAAATTCTTTTTTAATTAGCACATATTTTACAATTTTCATATAATTTTTAGCCAAAAAAGTACGGGTAGCTATAATAGTTGAATATGTTATTCCAATGTGTTGCACTCATTGTTTTGTAGAATGGACTTAAAATCAAGAATGTAAAATCAGTGATGGCGCTAGAAGAGCCACAGTATATTTTATTAATTTGTATATTTTTGGTGGAAAAATTTTATGATTATTCTTATTGCACATCAAAATGAAATATAGCTGATAAAGATAAGAGCACTTAACTTATTAAGTCACACAAGATTGTTCATATATAAAATTAAGTGAATTGTTTTCCCTTGCAATTCAGTTGATGTAACTCTGCCAGTGTTTTTAGTTCATCCCCAATTTTTTTGCCTAAGTGGAAAACTCTGGATTGAATTAGTGCCTTTTGTAAGTCTCAGTTTGCAACTATTCTCCTAGCGCTATCTGTGGATAAGTAAATTAAAAGTTGAACAAGTCAGCAACAGTTGTTCTCCTTTCAACGTGTACTTTGCTCATTTTTCAAACAGCGGGAAATCTTCAAGCTTAACTTTACTAGTCAGAAAAAATGCTGTGAATTTTTGTTTTCTTTTTTTACTTAACTGGCTGTTTTTTTTAAAGGAAGAAGTATATTTTAACTATTTAAAATGTCATCAGCGTCTACATTCAGTGAACTTTGCCTTCAGTTAAGTTGTCAGCATGGGGTAATGCTAAAACATGGATTAAAATGATGGTTTAAGTAAAGTGATAATGAAATCACCTGTTGGTACTGATACATTGTATAAGAGCTGTGACCTGTTGGGGCCAAGAGAAATACAACCTGCTGCTGCTTCCAGTAAATTGTACAACTCACACACTGCTGATAATAAACAGAACTACTGTGATTTTGTTAAGGTATGTCAAATATAACAAGTAGTTTTGGCCGTGTGTTTTTATGACATTGTTTATGTTTAGGATGACGTGTCATTTTTGGGAAATCTGAAAAAATGTTTTTTTTATATAGTGAGGTTTGCACACTTATTTTGCGCACTTAAAAAATTATATTTCCATGATGAATTGTGTGACTATGTATCCTGCTGTATCAACTGATTCTTCTGACTTAGGACTGCTATATGAATGAATAATAATGTTCCTGACTTTTTAGTGCTACAGATGGCAGCAGTGTCTAGAGTGACACTGAGAATCTCATCACTGCTACTTCTGGCTGTCTACCCTCCTCTTCTCCACTCTATCCTTCTTCTTGTTTTTACCTATTATTATTATGAATTTTAACAGAACTGATTTGCTAATATTCACAAAGTAATGCTTTATTGTTAGTTCTTAAAAGATACTGAAAAAAAAAATGAAAAGTTACTTTGCTTTTTGTAATAAAGGTCTTTTTTTAGCTCAAAAGTTCTTGTTAAAGTAAAATATTAGTTATTCAAAAGTTTGAAAATTTTAGATAATGACCGTACTCCAGTAATCTAGCTTCCAGAGTGAATC